TTCACGTACATGTAGGCCTAATATCAGAAAACTATCGCCTGCCCCCCCCCCCGTTTTTTCAAATTTTCGGGCTGCGCCCGGCCCCTATTTTCGAATCCTGGATCCGCCGCTGTAGTGCGCACCCTTTCCTTACTTATTCCAAGTGCCATTTTAATATCAATTGTCACAGTTGCTACGTGCACCTTATACTTTGACAAAGTGGCCCTTGTACCTTTTATGCATTTCCCTTGTAAGCATGCCCTTTGAATCTGTGATGGGTGTCCCATCTGTAAGTTACACATTTTTTTCTTTCCCTTTTTTAAAAAAATTAGAATACTTCAGTCTCAGAAAGGCCTCATTCTCTGAAATTTCAGATAATTTTCTCATTGCCCATGTAACTGGCCTGCATGGAGTGGTTATCTTTATTCTCATGTGCTTTCGATGTAGAAACTGTGAAGCCAGTCAGTGTGGTGTAAGGAAATACTTGTGATTAACTGATCATCCATAAAAAAATTAAAAAAAGAAACCATGAGCCTGCATGCATGTAACGCAGCAAAAAAGAAAAAAAAGAAGAAAAAAAGGGGATATGGGACAGCGTAACAAGGGTTGCGTTAGTGGGGGGGGGGGGGGGGGGGGGGGGGCAGGGGGGAAATTTAAATTTTATTTCAAAGGGTCCCAAATGAGAGGTGGTTTTATAAGGGGGAAGGTACCTAAGAGGGACATGTGAAAGGGGAGATGTGAAGGAATTTAGGGAATCATAATTACACAGTCTACTCCCGTTATAACGAGCACATATACGAGATTCCCTTTTAAAGACGCAATTCTACTACCGTCCCTGTTTCAAACATGTGCACATGGGTCTATGTGCCTATTTCATTACAAGGTAATTGGCTTGGTCGCAAGCACCTTGTTATTTTCTAAATGTATTCATTACTGTTTAAACCAATTTCATTTCATGGAGCCAGTCGTCGGCCGCCTGGGTCTGGTCTTCAGCCACCTTATCAATCTTCTCTCTAATTTCTTATAATAAACTTAATATGGCCTAATTCTCAATCAATATCATAAGGTACATGCCCGGTGGGGTCACTCCCCTGCAAAGAGTGACACGTATGACCGTTACCACCAATGCATATAACCCCCTTTTGCGGTCAATTTCAAGGACATTTTGTGAAATTTAACCCCCTTTTTTACGTCAAAACAAGGACAAAATCGTACTTTGGAATACCCCTATTTATAAGATTGTAAGGACACTTTCGCAAATTTACCCCTATTTTACCATATTTCAAGGACAAGACTCGGCTCCGAGAATTTTTCTTCCCGGTTTTTCTCTTTTCCCTTTTCCTGACCCCTATTTATCAATTTCGGGGACACCTGTGCCCCCCTATTTTCTTTATTTCGAGGAATATTTTGTCCGCGGACATTGCTTGAAATTGACCCCTTTTTCCGCGATTTTGGTAACGGTCATGCGGTCCGGAAGTCACATTGAGTGACCCCACCGGGGTACATGTAGCTACGTCAATAGTTATTACAACTTTATGCTTGGAATGTTAAAGCTTCACGAGAGGATTTCTTAAGAAAGAATTTTTACTGTAACTCTCATTGTGTTAGATCGGATGCTCGATCTGCATATGAACGAAAACAAGGAAACGCAAAGCGTAGCATCCCCCTCGCACTTATCGCTCATACGTACGACTACGAGGTTGACCTACGACTACGATGACAATGAATGCTGAAGGTCGATGCTGTCGAAATTCACGTTGACGTTATCGAGTTCGCGCCCAGATCAGCATGCTGTGTCGCAATATATCGTGCCGAGTATGCACGTGCGTGCATGCATAATTATGATATACATGTACTCTATGCGCATATAATAATAATAATACATAACATTTATTAGGCGCTTAATACTGATGTTTCTAAGCGCACAGTGTTCTGATTAAGAGAAGACTATAGCCCGTAGAATTAAATTAGAAGAAAAAGCAAAAATACAAAAGTAACATAGATAAGGTAAGAAAAACAGTGGCAATCAACTAAATAAGACAAATATCGTGCGCACCTCCATTGACCGACGCACAACTGCAATTTACAATTTGAAAAGATAGGTTTTGAGTAGAGATTTGAATTGAGATACAGAGGGGGCGCAGTGAATAAAGGCGGGCAGTTTGTTCCAGAGAGCGGGGGCAATAACTGAAAAGGCGCGGTCACCATACCGGGTGTTAGTGCGGGGTCCAGGTGTTAACAGTAATGTGGAAGATGAACGAAGTGTTCGTGACGACGTACGGGAACGTAAGGATATGAGATCGGAAAGGTAAGAGGGGCTAAGCCATTGATAGCTTTGTAGCACAGGAGAAGAATTTTGAAGGATATGTGGTGGTGAATTTTAAGCCAATGTAGTGAGTTCAATATTGGAGTTATGTGCTCTGATTTACGCGAGAGAGTCACAAGCCGAGCAGCGCTATTCTGTACCCTTTGAAGTGGGACTAGATGTGACTGAGGCAGTGGCGGATCCAGGGGGGGGCCCGGGGGGCCCGGGCCCCCCCCCCCCTTGAGAAAAAAATCATGTAAAATCACGTGATTTTTACGATTTTTTGGGGTTGGGCCCCCCCCCCTGGCGCTCAAGGGGGGGGTGCAAATTGAAATTTTTTTGAGGACCAAAAAAAAAAAAATGTGCTCACTACCCCCCCCCCCCCCCCCCCCCCCCCCCCCCCCCCCCCCCCCCCCCCCCCCCACTGAGCGAATTTTTGGCCGGCGCGTTTTTCAAATTTTCGGGAGCAAAAAAAAAAAAAAAAAAAAAAAAAAAATTGTGCTCTGTACCCCCCCCCCCCCCCCCCCCCCCCCCCCCCCCCCCCCCCCCCCACTGAGCGACTTTTCGGCCGGCGCGATTTTCAAATTTTCGGGAGCAAAAAAAAAAAAAAGTTGGGCCCCCTCCCCTAAGAAATCCTGGATCCGCGCCTGGACTGAGGGAGGCCAGAAAGAGAAGAATTACAGTAATCGATATGGGTCGAGACAAAAGCATGGACTAATTTTGAAGTTGTGGTCGGTCAGTAGCCTCCTGATATACTAGTCAGTAGGTTATTTATTTTTCGTACCGCGCGCGAATTTTTTTTCCGTACTCGAGAGGGCAAATACCCCATGTGCGCATGCGCGTGGACTTGTGATTTCTCTGCTACTTCCCATACGAAATGTATGTATTCGCATCTACTGTGCACGATTCGCGTTCTACGAGTAAACGATGGCATAGTAGTCTTCAAACACAGACTCTGATTTGCCAGTTTGACAAAACAATTACGCATATATCGTGCGTAGCAATAGTACTAGTATTCAAGTCTGAGTAGTTGTATGATTCAGACATTTTAGTGCTTACAGAAATGCATCCCAAATTGAATAGCATGGTATAGTAGTCTGCAAGCACAGACGCTAATCGGACAGTTTGACAACATAGTGTCTTGAGTAGTGCTCTATATTCAAATATGTGTAGTTTTATGATTCAGACCCTACTGGTGCGTGTATTATTATGTCCTTGCAGACTACTATACTACACTCTACACATTGAGATGCATTTCTAACGCACGCACCAGTAGGGTCTGAATCATACATCTACGCAGACTTGAATAAAGTACTTCTCAGCACACTACTAGTATGTTGTCAAACTGTCAGATTAGCGTCTGTGCTTGCAGACTACTATACCATTCTATACAAGTTGGCGACTTGAATAAAGTACTTCTCAGCACACTACTAGTATGTTGTCAAACTGTCAGATTAGCGTCTGTGCTTGCAGACTACTATACCATTCTATACAAGTTGCAATGTATTTCCATATGCACTACTGGGTCTGAATCATACAACTACACAGACTTGAATAAGCACATCGCGACACATACGCATATTGATTTGTCAAACTGGCAAATCAGAGTCTGTGTTTGAAGACTACTATGCCATCGTTTACTCGTAGAAACGCGAATCGTGCACAGTACATGCGAATACATGTACATTTCGTATGGGAAGTAGCAGAGAAATCATAAGTCCACGCGCATGCGCACATGGGATTTTTGCTCTCTCGAGTACGGAAAAAAATTCGCGTACCGCGCGCGGGTAATTCCGTACGAGGTTATAAACCTTATTATTAAGTAATATTTCAAAAAAAAATAATATTGGTTTTCATTCCAGCAATAAATACAAAAGTATCAAGATAAAGCTAAAATTTATTTTTACCATGTTTATTCGACACAAGTAATAAAAATATACGCGATTATATAAGCAGAAACGTTCGGCCAATGTCGGATAAGAACGGCGGCTTTCGAACGTATCTGCGAACGAGTCGATCCAGTAGATTCGTTCCGCGGAACAAATTGCCTACCACACCGGCCGAAAAGTCGCTCAGTGGGGGGGGGGGGGGGGGGGGGCAGTGAGCACAATTTTTTATTTTTTGGTCCTCGAAAATTTCAAAATTTGCACCCCACCCCCCCCCCCCCCCCCCCTTGAGCGTCAGGGGGGGGGGGGGGGCAATCACAAGTTAACCACATGGTTGGGTTACATTCCTAAAGGCGTTTATAAATAACCCTCCCTCCCCCCCCCCCCCCCCCCCCCCAAAGAAAAAAAAAAAGAAATCGAGATTGGTGCTATGATTGAGAATGCTGCAAGTGATCCCTCAATAGCTGTATCCAATACGTCACTGGGCGTCACCTGCAGGAAAAATGATTTGCAGAAACCAAATCACATGCAATCAAACTTTTGACCTATTGTCATGCCGCTTACATAAGGCAGACTGGTGCAACTTCTTTGAGATTTATGTTAATCAGAAACAAATTGGGTAAGGTCAAATTACCCAAATTCATCATATTCTACACTAAAATGATTCAATATTATGAATTCTCTGTCATATCATCTTAAATTCTACCAGGATAAATCAGATTTCAGGATGAAAATAAGTTTAAATGACGAACTAAATCAATAATTGTCAGGCTTTATGTAATAGTAGTAAGATGTGATACTATTCTCTCAATGAGTATATATATGTGCATCATCCGTACAACTGAGAATCACGAGTCCAGTTAAACTTACACTGCCGAAAGAAAAGGAGGAGAAAGACGACTGGAAATAATAAACTCCAGTTAGAAAGGAGGTGAAAACGGGAGATACGAGAGATGGCTTTCGATCTCTCTAAAATTGCGAGTAATCTCGTGAAGAATTTTGCGACAGGAGAGGTGAGTAAATAAAATAAGCTAATATTAAATTTGTGTAAGCAGCCGGCAGCCGCTAGCTGGCCGCGTAGCGATCCGACGCCTCGAGATCGTGAGTGCCTCGCCTTCGGCCCGGGCAGGAGGTGCATGCTGATGGTGAGGTAGGCATGATCTGATGAAGTGCTGGTGACGGCGCTAGTTCAGAAACCTATCCAAAATTTGACCCGTAACTCCGGCGTGGAGATAAGATTCAAGATTCAAGATTTGTTTATTTCTTTCCACTTGCATAAAAAAAAACATTTCATTCAGTAACAGTAGTAACAAGTTCATCGTAAACTAGCATAAAAAGCATTAACAATGAAACAGTTATAAAGACTTTAACAAATGTGGAAAAAGAGGTGGTCTGTTAAAAAAGCACAGCTTGTTAAAACACAGATCACCTTTACAGAAACAACATTTTTTTTTAAAGAAGTAGGTTATATTACAGGGGGAGGGGGACTAATACTAATCTAGTTACCTATACAGACTATAAATAAATATCAGATCTACCACTAATTTACAAAATATGGTAGACTAAAAAAGAAAACAGAATAAAGATAATGAAAAAGTAAAGAAATAGGGGAAGGAGGATAATGTACAACACGGGGGGGGGGGGGGGGGGGGGGGGGGGGGGGGGGGACAATGCTATTCCAGTTACCTATATTGAATACTATGAAAACATACCTAAAATGAAGTAAATAGTCTATCCGTTAAATGTCCAAATAAAGATCATGAGTTAAAAGTTGTTGGGTTTATTACTAGATCTAGACGTAACAGTTAGGCAGAAATAACCATCTGATTTGGGTCATTTCTTTAATAAAACTGACATTTGTTGTCATTCCCCAATACAGATGGTAACCCAGAGATCTCCTACCGTGGGGGTGGCTATGAACATCTTTTCGTTCACGACATTTTCTTCCGGAAAAGAAATAATGAATATTCATCAACTAAAACCAAGACGGATAATGTTGACGACGAGACTTTCTCGGATTAATCATTAATTTAGGATCTAAATGAGCAAGCTATCGTAAGTCAAATAAGCTATATATATGTTATTTTTAATTTTTTATTATAATTGCAGCAGTTATGAGGATGTAAAGAGTGAAAATCTTGTTGCATATCTCATTCATCGCGGTCCGGTCGAACCAAACCATTTGTTCTGTACAGTACCGTACAGTCCCGATGGGACATACTTCAGTCTCTCTTTAATCGGAGGTCTGGTGGAGCCAGACGTAGTCTCAGTGGAACAACCGACGATTAGAGAGACTGAAGCTTTCGGTCTATACTAGACCTAACTTCAGGAAGCTCCAACACAGGCGCCGGTGTTGGAGCTTCCCGGAGTTAGTTTATTACCTGTTTCGTGTCAATTTTCTTGTTATTTTTGGAGTATTTTTCAGAAAAAACATTGATATTAGTTGATCTAGATCTATACATGTTTCACGGCAAACTCCAGGAAGCTCCAACACTGGCGCCGGTGTTGGACTTGGAGCTTCAATTCAGACAGCATACCGATGGTGGGTTGCGGGCGGGCGCGCGCCTGTGTGAATTTATCTACCGTAATGTCTCAGATCCTCATTACGGTAGATAAATTGACACAAGACAGGTAATAAACATAACAACTTTTAACTCATGATCTACTTCATTTTTGGGTGTGTTTTAGTCTCGGGTCGCGCCATGCCTTTTTAATTTCTTGGCGAGAGGCCCGGTCTAAGCAAATAAGACTGTAAGTCAATATTGTGTGCAAATCAAATCATCAGAATTAGAGCTCGTTGGAACTTAACTTACTGCAGGATGAGCATGCAAAGCAGTAGAATTTATCATTTTATACTCTGGATCTGAAAGGGATCCTCTTCTCTCCATTTTTTTTTTCCTTTTGCAATTGAATTTGAAAGATAGAAAGATAATAATAATAATAATAACAATATTATAAAGCGATCCTCCCTTTGAAATTTGAAGATATATATATGAATACTATCGAATAGTGCATATTGTGGTCAGTGATTTTAAACTGCCTAGATCTACAAGTGCAGATTGTTACGATATGCGATATCCGAATATCCGGTAACCATTGTAGTAGAATAAGTAACATGTCTACCATAAACAAACCATTCTGCCGACTCTATGTTATCCTGAGTTAAGACCCTCTACTAAGACCCTCAAACTCATCCCAGTTTGCTAATGTTTATCTCTTTATCTTTATTTTAAGATGGTGGCGATCTCTTCACTTTGGGAGAAGCAAGCCTGTGTGATCCACTTCATGAGACGGTTTGGATGATCCGCGTGTCGGCTGGGTGCCAGCGAGCTTGATTCGCTTAGACCCAGCTTGATGAGGCCGACGTACGACTCGTCGGAATCGGCCTCGAGGATCTAGGAGCACAGGAGTTCCTAGATGGCGGGTTTGGAAAGGAGGTAAATTTAATTTGATTTTAAATCCCTTAAAACATACTACTTCCGTCGTAATCTTCTCATTTCTTTAGTTGTGTATATTTGGGTTCTCTTCAAAGTTCAAACCTGTGATTGAAAATGCTAGATGCCTATGGTACTACTTTTTAGTGCTCAAAATATGTGATGTTTATTGAGGCTTGTTTGTGTGGGAACCAGATGATTTTTTTTCCCTTCTATTCTACAGTATATCTACATCATAGTAAATGTTTGTTTCTGATATATGTTATGCAATAGCTAGTTAAATTATATGATTGTATACTTATTGTATATTTATTTAAAGATGGTGGCGATCTCTTCACTTTGGGAGAAGCAAGCCTGCTAACAATGTAGTTAGCTTTATTTACATTAATTCAAATGTTAGCATTGTTGGGCCAGTTATGTGGAAATGCTAAGTGAGGATTATTGTGTGTATAAAAGAGTAGGGAAAAGAGTGGGTGGGCAGAGAGATATTAAAGGTAAAGACCAGTATTGGAAACACCCCAATTTCAAAAAATGCAATGGAAGCTCTTATTACCAATCATGTGAAAGAATATGTTTTGACTCATACATGATGATACAAATTTTGCTGGGAAACCACCTACTAATTGATATATTTGGCAAATTAGTTAATCTATTGGTGTGAGAGAGATAAACGCACGTGTCGCGCACATGTGCGTATAGTCCCATATACATCTTTCTGTGTACAGTGCTTGTAACTTTACGAAGACTGGGCCAAATTTCTTATCATTTTGATGATTCCAGAACCTTGCGGTACACACCAATACTAGGGATGTCAGACGCTCGCGCTGCAATCCTGAAATCGAGCCATCAATGTGCGTACGAGCCAACGGTGATTGTAGTCGAAATAAAAACATGCAATCTTCAAAAATTCATTAAAAATCAAAATTAGCAGGAAAGAACTAATTGATTAAGAATTACCGTAGATTAAAGTTGTATTCCAATATTGGAAGCATTTTCTTCACAAGTATAATCGTAGAATCAATCAAAATATGGCAGTAAAGATGAGCTTTAATTCGCCCATTGGCCCTTTGCAAGCGTTTGAAAGGCATTGCAGCAGCCATGGCACTGCTTTTCTGTGACTCTCTGAAAAACTGCGCATGTTTACATCAAAATCTGGAGGTGATCCCGGGGTCACACAATGCCCAAATTTGGACATGCCATTCATGAAACTTAGAAAAGTTGACCATGCGCGTTGACTTTTTTGCCTACCCCATACTTTAATATATTTGAGCAGTAAAAAAAAGTTCCAATTTATAGCGATCTTTTTCTTATAAAAATGAACTTTTTGCAAAAGTCAATGTTAGTATATTTATAAGTGATATCCAAGCTATCTTTGAGCCAAAAATCTAAGGGAAATTCATTCAGGATCATCTACAGATAATCACAAACTTCCGATGTATACTACCCAAGACTGAACAACCGTAAGTCTTGACACTCGCCCTCAACCCCTGGTGATTCTGTGCTGAACACGTACGGACCGAACGAAATATTTGCATCTAGAAACTACTTTCCATGGATAAATTGAGAATTTTGATCGACTACAAACGTTGAATATAAGTTTTTCATAATTAAAGACTCCATTATTAAAGCAATAACTCAGTATTTATTATAGAAAAAGAAGTTGAAATGTTGAATGTGTGTACGAGTGAAATGCCGGGAGGAAGTATAAATGAAAGAAAAGCGTGATGTTATCATCAAGCCGCAATGGCCACGTGCGCGCACGTGGAAATTTCCATTGTAAGCGCCAGCATGTGGCTCTTCTTCTAAGTGTACAAACTCCCTCTTTAAAAAAGATAAAATGCAAGAAATTATTAAAACAATGTTTCAAGGGAAACTAAACACCGTTTCGAGGGAAATTACGTAGAAATGAGCAATTCTAGTGACTCAGCTGTAATTGTAAATATACAGGTGTTATTCTCCTGATACATTTGTAACATTACAAGAGGTTTTCTGGACATTTACCATATTTGTTTTCCTTTATCAAAAAGCAATTTTACATGTACTTGGAATTGATATATTTTTCCACCATGACTGCCAGAATTTTAATCCAAGTTTACATTGAAATATCATCTTATATTTGTATCGCTGATTATTTGAAAATCTTTACTTGAAAATCAGCGATCCTCCAGATCCTCAAATCGATCCTCAAATTTTATCAGGAAACATTTTTCCTGCGATTTTTTTTTATTTTTTAAATCTTTGTTTTCTTTGTTTTTCTTTGTTTTTCTTTGTTTGTTGCCATGGCAACCTTATATTTTAATTTTAAAAATGTTGTGGAAAGATGTCCCTGCCATTATCTTGGAATGCAAAGTGTTTTGAGTAGCAATTTGATCTGGAAAGTAAATATACCGGTATATTACTTTTTAAATATTTTCTTATTTTCTTTGTTTTGTTTCCATGGCAACAATATATTTAATTTCAAGGTTTCTCTTAAAAATGTTGATAAAAAGAATATAATGAAGAAAAGTTCTGTTGAAATTTCAATGAGAAACAAGATATATTTTTTGAGATATGGCACATCAAACAATGCTTGCAATGTTGAGGTATGTACTCTTTACTATGTACTTAAATTACACTCGGTGCCATGCTTACATTGTAATTTCCTATGCAAAAACTTCAGGAAATACCCCTAAATAAAAATATTAAAAAATTAATATCTCAAGAATCGATTTATATTTTGACTCCATTTTTTTTCCATATTGAATGATAAATTGTGTTCTCCAAATACAGTGCAAAATTGTCATGATTTAATGGACTTCAATTTTTAGTCTAACATCCCTACCAATACTTATATGCTAGATGATCAACCTTTTCTGATTCCATGTTTCTTTCACAATGCAATCGCATGACCATAACTGGTCTTTATCTTTAACTACTATTCAAAATTTTGGATTATATCTGATAGTTATATTTCTCTGTTTTTTCACAGATTTATTCATAGATCAACAACAGAAGAGTTATCAAGGGCTAGGCTTTAAGAAATATAGCCTGATGAGCATCATGAAGGCTGTCTTCTCCGCTAAAACTAGAGCTGCACTATCAAGGGTATGTGCATTTCTATTTTCAATCTGTTCAGTTACTTAAAGGTAATACAAGGTTTTGGTATGGGGTAATGAATTTGGTTCAAATGAACATATTGGAAGCATATGCGTTCCCACACTATCCATTGATCGTTGTCGCTGTTGAAATCGAGTTTAAAGTTATGAAAATATAAATAATAAACTATTTATGTTGTATAGCTCTCTCTCGAGGTCAAGATATTAATTTAGCTATGAAATGATGTTTCTTGACTAAAATCGACCGATTAGCTATTCTCGTTTGGAAATTGTATATCACAACTACATATTCTGAGATTTTCATGGTCGCAGCTACCATTGTACGGCCATAGGCGCTATCTGAAATTTATCAAAATTTACCGGGAGCACCGGTAAATTTTTTAATTCAATTTTTCTCGAAAACAGAAGTGTTTTGGGGGCTAATTTTTTTAGTGCTTATAATACATCCACAGGGGCATCCAAATATATCAAATTGTAAAGATTCCCTTTCAACCCAATTTTCAAAATTTCCCAAAACTTTGTATTACCTTTAACTTCTGGTTATATATTTCAAATATTGGGCCTTTGTGAACAATTTGATTCTATCTTTTTATGGAGATACATCCACAGAGAAGAAGTAGAATATACCGGTATACATGAATATAAAACACATTTATATAATATATGTATTTAAAATTTTACCTGTACATAATATGGTATAACTGTCGTAGACTATGAAGAAGTCAATTTCACAGACAATAATCTCACATGACGAATATTTGATTAAAATTTGATTTAATTCATTTTATCTTGTAGACCTAATTTTAAACTGTTATTATCATTTCTGAGAAATTGAAATTAAGGAATTTGTAGCTAAACTTAATGAACAATATATTTTATTTTAACATTTTCTTTAGAATAGTGAAGGTTTGATACACTATTTTGCCAGTAAACAGAAGCATTTCAATCATATATTCATGTAGATTTAGTTAGCATATAAAGGCTGTTTAATCATAGAGCTCTATGTAGTTTGTGGAGGATCTTGAGGTGGTTTTATTATATCTCTTTTTCAAGGCTATTTGATCTGCTGCTTAATCCCTAATATAAAGAAACCATATAAGGACAGCTCAAAGTAAACATGCTAACCTTGATGTGCTGTAAACACAATAGATGTACGATTATCATCATTTCCTCCTGCTACATATACACACTTTTATATATTTTCTCTCTCTCTCTCTTTCTCTATCTCTCTCTCTCTTTGCCTCTCTCTCTCTCTCTGCCACTCTCTATCTCTCTCTCTCACCCCTCTCTCTCTCTCTCTCTCACCTCTCTCTCTCTCTCTCTCTCTCTCTCTCTCATATGTAACAACTAAATCAATATATTATGTATCTGTATTGCATTTAGCTCAAAAAGTTTACCTTTGCTTCAGAGCTCAGAAGCCCTGAGATGTACGGTACACAAAATTACATACAAAACATCAAATAAGAAAGCAAAAGAACAAGAGCTACGAAAACTTGATGAGGCATTCATAACAATATCCAAATCAGATACTAGATTAATTGTACTACAAGGAGTGGGTCTTGTGAGAATCCCAGGGATATTCATTTTGTTCACTACTTATAAAATTGAGCGCCATGTCCATTCCAAAGTATTCAGAAGAGAGGCCGATTTCTTTCCTTTTCGTTTTGTTTGCAGACCACATGCAGTACATGTATGGGATTTAATTTTGCCTCATCATCACCGTTTTATCTATCAGTTGACCTTCATTGATAACGATGTGTGCGCTAAAGATTAATTTTCAGCAGAATAGTTTAGTTAAATCTCTCATGTACTTGTGCAATATACCTGCATGTCAGCTCAGCTACAGTGACCAATTTACCTACAAAGTAAACAAATGACATATTTTGTTAGATGACAGAAAGCCATTCCCCCAAACTATATCATCTATTTGGAGCCACAAAGGCGTTGACTGTCGTCTGTGACTGTGTTAAAGTACATGTATACGAGTTGTGGCGTCTGTGGCTCCATCCAAACAGACATTTGAATGCCTATGAGTATAGAGCATGGTTTAACACATGTCATGATCCAAATAAATCAAACCATAGTAACAAAGGGAAATATGTTATTGCACTATTCACTGATATAAGAATGCACGTATCCGGACACCTTCCCCCTGGACATCCACCCCTCCCCCCCCCCCCCCGATAACTACCCCCAGACAGACTACCCCCTGGGACAACTACCCTGGGACAACTACCCCTAGACAACTACCCCCGGACAACTTCCCGCAGACAACGATCCCCTACGTCAACTACCCCCTAGGGCAACCACCCTCTAGGGCAACCACCCTCTAGGACAAATACCCCACAAACGACTACCACCCGGACAACTACCCCCTAGGATAGTTGTCCAGGGGGTAGGTGTCCTAGGGGATGGTTGTCGTAGGGGGTAGTTGTCCAGGGGGTAGTTGTCCTAGGGGGTCGTTGTCTGCGGGAAGTTGTCCGGGGGTAGTTGTCTAGGGGTAGTTGTCCCAGGGTAATTGTCCCAGGGTAGTTGTCCCAGGGGGTAGTTTGTCCTAGGGGGTAGTTGACTGGGGGTGGTTATCCGTGAATGGATGTCCAGGGGGTAGGTGTCCTAGAACTATACGGTACTGTACATTGTTGACAAATATTATTTATCCCTCATAATAGTTGTGTGTCACAGCACTTGCTAATGTTTCAGTTTGTGTGCTTTGGTGATGATGAACAGGGAATACTTGTCTACATCTGGAAATCCAGAGTTTAATTAAAGACTCTTTCATCCCCATAATTGTAGGCTCTCTCTCTCTGCTGAAGTGTTAAAAAACAATCTTAAGAAATATCTGTTTAATTTAGCTTATAATTGATTACCATAACCTTTCATGTCTGTACCTTTTCTATCGCACTTTGTATAAATGTATCATGTATGTATTTCATCTTTTGCACAAGCTGCGCCTTGAGCATTTGAATATCAAGTGGATTTGGCGCCTTATAAATCATATGTATTATTATTATTATTATTATTATTATTATTATTATATAAACTGTCAAATGTAAAGTAGTAGACATTATTTTGTATGATTATTGTTTATTCATTTTTTTTTTGCTTTTCAAAGGCAAGTGACAAGAAGATCAAGGCTAATTTGAAAGGAGACAAATTGCAAATCGGAGGAACTCTCATCATAAGCAAAGGTTTGTATTCATCAAAAAGCAATTCACCCTTTAGAGGAGAACTAACCCCAAAGAATGAGTGTAGGTATTCTGAAAAACAAGATTGAATCCTGCATTTTCTGTACAATAAATCTTACAAACATGTATACAAGAGATATAAAAATGAAGATTTCTTGGCTTTCTCATACACTTTGGTGGGAGATCTTGTAGATTGATGGTCAAGAACGCAATAAATCTCTCAGAACAACTAAACTTATTCTTTTGAGTTAGTTTTCCTTTAAAAGGAAGATAAATCTCAGATATCAAGATTGGTCAAATTCAGAACAAATCATACTGAATATGAAACTTACAGTATTCTCTTTTTAGAGTTCAGATCATACTGTACAAAGAGATAGAAATTCCATGTACTGGAACTTTATAAATGGGTAAATACAGTCAAACCTGATTTAGTGACCATCTGTCTACAAAGACTACATTTTGTTTCCCTTGAAAATAGTTTCTCATTGAAACATGTACTAAAGGCACCTGTACATAAAGACCACCTGCCTATAAAGACCGCTTTTCTTGTCTCCCTTGGATGGTCTTTATAGACAGATTTCACTGTATCATTGTGATGCTAAATAGTTCACCTCTCTGATTTGTTCAACAACACCAACCCCCCCCCCCCCCCCCAAAAAAAAAAAAAAACGCACTCCGACTCTCATCCAATGATTTGGCAGAGTCTGTTACCCACAGCTTGGAAAAGGTTCAGATGGTGTCATCGATGAATAATAATAGCTCAAATTTATAATGCGCCGAATACTGTATTTGTAGGTACATATTATTATATTATTACCACGGTCATGGGTTTCAGGCTTACTCACACGATGTATGCACATTCTCAACTCCCTGAGGATCATTCCGGCCAGTCGCCATTTTACAAGCGCCACTTGCTCATCCAACCTCATTAACTTTCGCATCATACCGGGTACCCGTTTAACACCTAGGTGGAGAGTGGCAAATGAAGATTAACATCTTGCCAAGGACATTATTAGTGGCGCGGCAGGACTCGAAACCCCATACCTTGCGATCTGCAGTAGGGTGATTTATCCACTAGACCTCAACACCTCATCAAGTGGTTTTAACACTTGTCTACAAGTCTGGAGATGCAAGGGGTCATGGGTTAGAACCCCAGCACAGCACCAGTATCCCTATAGGAAAGACATTCATCTACATTTGCCACACTCCACCCAGGGGTTTAATAGAACCAGGGGGGTGTTTCATAAAGCTGTGCATAAAGTTACAAATGACTTTACAAATGATTTGATATGAAGAGCCAAATGGGATGCCCAAAGTTTTTCCTGACATTTTAATAAAGTGTGACTGTATTTCCCATAATCTCAATTAAGTTGTAGCCAAAAATACACTTTGCATTAAAGTGTTTTGTTAATAATGATAAGGTTAATCTACATCTGCATATTTTAACTTTATCTTATAAAATGCAATTAAAAGGATTTGAGAATCCCATTTAGCTCTTCATATTCAAGACATTAGTAAAGTCATGCATAACTTTACGCACAGCTTTATGAAACACTCCCCAGGTAGCGGAAAGAAGTCTTTGAACGCCGTAATCACCAATATCAATGCTAGAGCCAGATGGTGAACATGAGTGCTGTTTTAGTATATTATTCTTCAGAAAAAATCTTGGAACCAGCGGGACTTGAACCTGCATCTACTGCTTGCCGGGCAGCGACTCTACCACCAGGCCATCACTGGTCCATGGCACAGTCAAATGAACTAGAAACAAATACCCAAGCTCTCCTGATTCATTCTGACTTGTTTTTCAATACAGATCAATCAATCGATCTTATTTACTGGGTGTAAGCCACAAATATATTTAAATAATTGAAATTTCTCCCAGGAAACATTACATTTATATTAAAAAAATGTTATTCTTGTTATCATTCTTAATTGTCCTTTTTTCCTTCCAAATCGTTGCCTCTCCTAACAGGAGGAGAGAAGGTTCTAGTAGACTTCAAGCAGGAGGCCCCCGGAGACCACATCCCCCTCCAGACTGTACTTGATGCCTTCGGAATCAAAGGAGAAACGCCCAAGACGGAAGGAGCTGAGGGTGGCACCGTTGTATGCAATGATGATGTATGCCAAATGAAGTAGATAGCCACAATAGAGTGGTGAAGTGTGACATATTCCAAAATCTTTTTTTTTTTTATCATTTTCCGATAGAGCATCAAAAATAATGTCCGAATGTTGAAAACCAATTGACTATGTTAAGTATTGGCTGAGATATAACCATCTGAATAAAAATATGTCCTATGGGACTCAGTGTTATATTGCTCTGGCTCGTAATGTTATGAACCAGTCTATAGAGAGAGAGATAATGGACTCTTCCACTATTTGAAGGGGTGGTATTCAGCATTTCGCAAAGCACCACTGATGGCATTAATTTTCTTTTTTTTCTGTCGGTGATCAGGGTATTGTTTCATGAATCTGTCATGAGTACAACTTAACTCACATCTTATTGAAATGCCTGTTGATTGTAATATACCCACAAATTTCAATGGGATGTTGGCAAACATGTACTTGTGATGGTTTTGTGAAACGCTGTCCAGGGCACTGATGCACTATTTGATCTTCTGACTTCAAGAGTAATTCCACAATAGACAGTTTATGCATCACTTGATTCTCGTTCACATTTTTTTCAATGATTTAAATATGTCGGAGAAGGCAGCAATTTGTTTTTGGATTTCTTTGTGGGGACTCCCCTGTTTACATATTAATTGGATTCGTTCTTCTGTTTAATCAGTATCATCTGTGTCACAGCATTATCATCACGTACAAAGTTTGTCTTTCAAATTGTTTCTTGTGGTTATTCCAGTATTCCACACAGGTTTCCACATTTTTGTAATATTTTTCAGTATTATGCAAAGAACAGAACATTTAATAGATGTTGGTGCATGTAGTCTGTTATAACTTAGCAAGCACAAACATATGCACAAACTAGAAACATTTATATATGAAAACATATACCGGTATCATAATTTCGGAAAATGTACAATATTTTAAAAGTGCTTTTTTTTTTAATTGTAAAAAATGTTCTGCAGGTGTTTAATCCTATATTTACTGTTTCTATCTGTTGTACCACTTTCCATTATTCAAAGCAAGCCCTTTATAGCAGAGAGACATTGATATAATAATATAACTTAATTATTAGCTTTTGAGATAACTGAACGTTCATTAGTATACATTCCTGTTCCTCACATTATTTATGTTCGATGGAAAACTATTATGAAGTGAGGAGAATGGAGGGACATGGCTACATATCATTTACATTCTAAATGATACAGTTATGGGAGCCTTTGCAGCCCTTAAATTTCAATATTTTTAGGGCAAGGCCACTTTTCTGTAGGGCACATTCCTATATTACAGCACAAATGAGAAGAATTGGAAAGGGCACAAAAAAATCTCCAAGGCCAATGAGAGGGGCCTTGAGGCCAATCAAAAGGGCATCCACGGCCATGGCCTTGGTGGCCTTGGATTAATTTAAGCCCTGCCTTTGAATTATTCCTTGATTAAGAAATCCCCCTGAGCCCCCCCCCCCCCCCCCCCCCAAGAGATATCAGGTCATTAGTGGATATATATACTGATACTGATACATTAACCCATTACCCAATGAGACCGGACGGCTCCACTATCTATGTTATGATCTACCCTCTGAGTTACATGGGGTTATATAAATACTGCCTAAAATAAATGCATTTCTTTGCCTGATTTAAACTCATGATTGCTGAAATCGTTCAAATTGATTCATGGATGTGTATCATTGTATTATTAATATTGTTTCCATAGATATTATATAATATTGTATAAAACTATATAAGCAAATATCGGTGTAATATTTGTGTAATGTATCTAAATGAGATACTTTGTCACCTCAACATGTTATTTCCCTGTGAAACAGAATTTGCATTGACCTTTTGTTGACCTTTGACCTATGACACTTGGTTAGGGAAAGTCCCCTTGTTGGATCCTCACCAAGTTGATGCTGTATGTAATGTCACGCAAAAGCACAAATTCTGTCTCATTGGTGGACAAACATCTTGTTGGTTTAAGTAGCAATATATGATTATTTATGCACATCAAATATTTGCAATAAAATGAAATGAAATAAATCGTTGTTAGTCTCTTTTTGTGCATTCTCTCCTGACTTTCTTTGACACAAGATTGTACTGTTTTCTAGAATGTCTTTTAATGATTTTTAAATCTGTGAAAATGCTTTCATGTTGTCTTTCTATTTGATAGTGATTTTTGTATTTGTCATTCTCTTTGGAAATATTCTTTTAGTATGTTGAAATTATCTGTGCTTGAAAAAAATAACAAAAGTTTGAATCGGGATTAAGGTATGATCGTTTGATAAGTTGATTGATGGAGTGATTCGTTGGTTGGTTTATTGATTAATTTGTTGATTGATTGGTTGGTTGATTGACTGATTGGTTGGTTGGTTGGTTGGTTGACTGACTGATTGATTGATGGAGTGATTTGTTGGTTGGTTTATTGATTGATTGGTTGGTTGATTTTGTTGATTGATTGGTTGGTTGATTGATTGGCTGATTGGTTGGTTGGTTGACTGACTGTTTGATTGATTGATTGATGGAGTGATTGGTTGGTTGGTTTATTGATTGATTGGTTGGTTGATTGATTTTGTTGATTGATTGGTTGGTTGATTGATTGGCTGATTAGTTGGTTGGTTGACTGTTTGATTGATGGAGTGATTGGTTGGTTGGTTTATTGATTGATTGGTTGGTTGGTTGATTGATTTTGTTGATTGATTGGTTGGTTGATTGACTGATCGGTTGGTTGGTTGGTTGACTGACTGATTGATTGATTGATGGAGTGATTGGTTGGTTGGTTTATTGATTGATTGGTTGGTTGATTGATTTTGTTGATTGATTGGTTGGTTGATTGATTGGCTGATTAGTTGGTTGGTTGACTGACTGTTTGATTGATGGAGTGATTGGTTGGTTGGTTTATTGATTGATTGGTTGGTTGATTGATTTTGTTGATTGATTGATTGGCTGATTAGTTGGTTGGTTGACTGACTGTTTGATTGATGGAGTGATTGGTTGGTTGGTTTATTGATTGATTGGTTGGTTGATTGATTAATTTGTTGATTGATTGGTTGGTTGATTGACTGACTGTTTGATTGATTGATTGATGGAGTGATTGGTTGGTTGGTTTATTGATTGATTGGTTGGTTGATTGATTGATTGGCTGATTGGTTGGTTGGTTTATTGATTGATTGATTGATGGAGTGATTGGTTGGTTGGTTTATGGATTGATTGATTGATGGAGTGATTGATTGGTTGGTTGATTGATTGATTGGCTGATTGGTTGGTTGGTTGACTGACTGTTTGATTGATTGATTGATGGAGTGATTGGTTGGTTGGTTGATTGATTGATTGGTTGGTTGATTGATTGGCTGATTGGTTGGTTGGTTGACTGACTGTTTGATTGATTGATTGATGGAGTGATTGGTTGGTTGGTTTATTGATTTGATTGGTTGGTTGATTGATTAATTTGTTGATTGATTGTGTCATAGAATGACTCTTTTCTTGTTCTGAATGTTATGTTTAAGACTTTTGACGAGACTAGAAGAAATAGTCCGGAGAAGAAGGGGAAGACGATAGTTGTTATCTACGTAATGGCAGTTCGCCAACAGCGACGACAGTCGCTAACAGTTCTATTTCTTCTATTCTACTACTTGTCAAAGCCTGTTCAGCATCTAGACAAGGGTGATCTTTTGCCGACGGTGGACGGCTTGTGTAAATTTGTGCCGAAATATATACATGTTTATGGTGGAAGTAAAATGATAAAAATCATAAAAATCATAAAAAATAATGATGATGCTGTGACTATTCGCAGCTGATGGCTTCCTTGAACTGCTTCAATGTGGGCAGTTCAATGATATTTGTAGGAAGCTCATCCCAGTCTTTCATGGTGCGAGGAAAGAAGCTGTATTTGTAAGAATCGGAGGATGTACCAAGTCTGGTGAAACGAAGGTGATGTTGACTCCTTGTAGCTCTGTCTTTCTGTGAGATGTAATCTGGAAGAGGGATGGCTATCTGGTGGTGGAGGATCTTGTACATCATGGCTAGACGTGATTCCAGTCGTCGCTCTTGTAGAGTTGGGAGTCCGATGTTCAATCGCATAGCCGTGACGCTGTCTTCTCGGCTGTGATTCCCTGTGATGAAGCGTATCCCCCTCCTCTGAACTTTCTCAAGGCTATCTATCAGGTTTTGCCGATATGGATCCCATATAGCTGCCCCATATTCTAGTTGTGATCTGACTAGTGTTGTGTATGCCTGTTTCTTGATGGCAGATGAGCATAGGCTGAGATTTCTTCGAATGAATCCAAGTGTTCTGTTGGCTTTGGCTGCGACTGCCTTGATGTGATGTTTCCAGCTAAGTTTTTCATGGATCTCCATCCCCAAGTAAGACTGGCTGGAAACAGCGGCGAGCACCTCATCTCCCATGGTGTAGTTAAGGATGATGGGTTTCTGCTTGCGATGAATTCTCATGCTGTAACACTTCTTCGCATTGAATAGCATCTGCCACTTTTCAGCCCATTTGTGCAGCTTTTGAAGGTCTTTCTGTAGATCCAGTTTAGCAGTTTGCTTGCAGTTCCAGCATTTCTATGTTGAGATGGGAACTCTTTAGATAATCCTTAAGGTATGTTTATTCATTGAGTTATATTTCTTAAAATACAGTGCTGTAAAATGCCACTGAAAGTAGTTGCAAGTTATAGAGATTACAGTCGGACCATATGGAAGCGATAGCCTATATGAATGTGTGTAGTGACGTGAAACGAATCGCGAACATGGATTCGTTGAAAGTTTGATTGATAGTTTAGACAATCTTTTGAAGACTTTTCTTTTGTGAAAAAATAAAGTAGTTTAGAATTGATGGTTGTCAGGAAGATGATATGTGAATTTAACTTAGTTATGAGCATGGGTAGACTTAGAATAAGTTAGGACCAAACTATGTTATACTTGCGTATGTACGTGTGAAGGTATCTTAGTTACGAGAACCTCTTCACGCACGATTTAATGCGCAGACGAATATCATTTTAGAGATAAGGTGATAAGTCCATGATTGTTAGTCTCGTTTTAGGGCTTGTGAAAGTTTCTTGTTTGTGTTATTGATTATTCTTTTGTCTATGGATATGCATTTATGCTTCTTTAAAGATTTGTGGTTTATCGAAGTTGGCATATTATTATAACTATAAAGTTTAGATTTACTGACACAAGAATGTAACTTGAGTATATATGTGGAAATTTGATTCCTAAGTGTTAAACGTATTGCAAGAACATGTATTTAGTGTTTTCATTTCTTGTATTTTGCAGGAATTATCCCACACGGTTATTGAATTTCTCTTCACTTTCCAATGATGGTCCATGACAGTGTCACAATAAAGGAACCAACATGAGATAAACGGATGTCTCCTTTGTTTCATCATTGAATTGCAACAACGTGTTTAAACTAGAAGTCACATAAATCCTTTGAGTCCGTATTCCATCACAGATTGGTTGGTTGATTGATTGATTGACTGATCGGTTGGATGGTTGGTTGATTGATTGATTGACTGATCGGTTGGATGGTTGGTTGACTGACTGTTTGATTGATTGGTCGGTTGGTTGGTTGACTGACTGTTTGATTGATTGGTCGGTTGGTTGGTTGACTGACTGTTTGATTGATTGGTCGGTTGGTTGGTTGACTGACTGTTTGATTGATTGGTCGGTTGGTTGGTTGACTGACTGTTTGATTGATTGGTCGGTTGGTTGGTTGACTGACTGTTTGATTGATTGGTTGGTTGGTTGGTTGACTGACTGTTTGATTGATTGATTGGTTGGTTGATTGGTTGATTGATTGGTTGATTGATTGATTGATTGGTTGATTGATTGGTTGATTGATTGATGGAGTGATTGGTTGGTTGGTTGATTGGTTTGTTGATTGATTGGTTAATTGATTGATTGATTGATTGATGGAGTGGTTGATTGATTGGTTGGTTTATTCATTGATTGGTTGATTGATTGGTTGATTGATTGATGGAGTGATTGGTTGGTTGGTTGATTGGTTGGTTGATGGAGTGGTTGATTGATTGGTTGGTTTATTCATTGACTTGTTGATTGATTGGTTGGTTGATTCATTGACTTGTTGATTGATTGGTTTATTTATTCATTGACTTGTTGATTGATTGGTTGGTTGATTAGTTGGTTTATTGATTGTTTGATTGATTAATTGATGGAGT